CCCTTCGCCTCCCTCCTCCCCCTCCCCCTCCCTTCCCCTCCCTCCCCCCCCCCCCCACCCTCCCTCCTTTCCCTCCTTTCCCTCCTTCCCTCCTTCCACCCACCCTCCTTCCCCCTCCCCCCCCCCCCCCTCCCCCTCCTCCTCCTCCAAACAACTCTACAGCTCGAGGCTCACCCGGAGGCTCCAGCGCCACTCGAAGGCCGCAAGGTCGAGGAAGTTGAAGAGGTTGCGGAAGGAGAGCAAGACGAGGATCGTCTCCTGCCCTCTTCCTCCCTCCTCCACCTCCGTCCGGATCACGAGGGGAGCCAAAACTTTCTTAGCCTGCAAGGCGGAAGGATGGAGTCTCCTGTCCGGCCACGTGAGCCCGTTGATGTTCCACTGAGCATCATGAACGTCTTCATCGTGGAACCCGCCATACACCCAGCACGTCCTTCCGTCCTCCGTCTCCTTCCTCATTCCCTGATCCGTCCAGTCCCATATGAACCCTCCTTGCAGCACTCGCTCGGACCGGATCGTCTCCCAGAACTCGTCGAAGTTCCCCAGCGAGTTGTTCATCGCGTGCGCGTACTCGCACATGATTACTGGCCGCAGCCCCCTCGCCGTCCCCTGCGGCCACCGATGTCCGAGCTCCGTGCTTCTCCTATTCTGCTCCTCCAGTCTTGTCAGCCGGGCGAGCTGCTGCGGGCTCGGATACATCGGGCAGATGATGTCCGTGCTCGCTGCTCCTCCGCAACCCTCGTACTGCACAGGACGCGACCGCTCATGTTCTCTCAGCCACGCGGCCATGGCGATGTGGTTTCGACCGTAGGAGGACTCGTTGCCAAGAGACCAGACGAGGACACAGGGCCTGTTGCGATCCCTGATGACCATCCTCGTCAGCCTCTGCATGAACGCTTCCTCCCAGCTCGCGTCCTGCGTCAGCCTCTCCTCGCTGTTCTCAGCCACCAGCCCGTGAGTCTCGATGTTTGCCTCATCGCACACCCACAGCCCGTAAGCGTCGCAGAGCTTGTAGAAGAGGATGCAGTTGGGGTAGTGGCTCGTTCTGACCGCGTTCATGTTCAGCTGCTTCATCAACTTGAGATCCTCCACCATCAACTCGCGGCTGCAGTACTTTCCCTTCCTGTCATCGTGCTCGTGTCTGTTCACTCCCCTCACCTCCACTGGCACGTCGTTGACTTGCAGCACTCCATCCTTGATCTGAATCGTTCGCATCCCAACCCTCGTCGCCTCCACGTCCACCACCTCATCCTTCCTTCGCAGCACTAGGATCAGGGTGTACAGCTCGGGGCTCTCGGGCGACCAAGGGGAAGCGTTCTCAACATGGAAAACTTCCTTGCAGGAGGAGGAAGAGAATAGCAGGTTCCCCTCGCACACAATCTCCTTGCTCCCGTTCCCTACCTCCAGCCGCTTGCTGTACACCACAGGGTCCGAGCGCTTCAGGTCGAACTGACCGTCCTCGTCGAGCCTATTGGGGCCTTGGAGGATAATCTCTAGCGACAATTCCTCCTCTCCTCTCTCCTCCTCCCTCCTCGCTCCCTGCAGGGCAGCAAGTCCGTCTGCCCAGTCCCTCCTGATCTCAACGTCGAGGGTGACGCGAGCCGATCTGGTGGAGGGGTCGAAGTCGGAGAGGAGGAAGTAGTCCCACACGCAGGCCTCCTGGCTCTTGCTGTAAACCACCACGTCTCGCTGAATCCCACTGAGCAGCCACATGTCTTGGCTCTCCATGTAGCTCCCATCACAGAACCTGTACACCTGTACAGACAGGACCTGCATACATGCCCCCTCCTGCTCTCCCTCTCCCCCTGCCTCCTTCACACTCTCATAGGAGACGAAACGAGTGACGTCAAACTCTGCGGGGAGGAAGGAGTCTTGCGAGTATCCCACGAACTCTCCGTTGAGCCAGCAGTGGAACGAGGACGCGACCCCCTCGAAGCACATTATGATCCTCCTCCCCGACCAAGAGGACGGGATCGAAAAGGAAGTTTGATAGCAGGAGGCATAGTTGATGCTGCGAGGGATCTTGGGCGGGTCGCAGTGGAAGGGGTAGATGAAGTTGGTGTACAGGGGCTGCCCGTGGCCTGCAAACTCAACACTGCAAGGCACCGCAATGTCCACCCACGAGTCTGAGCCGTCGAACCCTGACGACTTGTGTACATGCGGAAGGTCTTGCAGGCTGGGGAACAGTTTGAACCTCCACCTCTTGCCCTCTCCCGAGAGGAGGCGCCTGCACTTGCCGTCCACGTAGCCTCTCTCCATCGGCTCCTCGTAGACAGACTCTATAGCGTCGTAGCATGCGAGAGGGGTGTGCGGGTCCAACTTGTTCACTCCGAGGACATTGTGGTCCTCAATGTCGGTAAGGCTTGCAGCAGCTTCATGTTGCAGGTGTTGTGCATGGGAACCCCGCAGGGGATCGATGCTGTTGCGCAGTGAGGCGCGAACAGACGGGAAAGCAGGGAAGTGAGACATAGAGGTCAACTCAGACGAGGTTTGACGAGGAGACGCGGCAGGAGGGGAGATGAATGGCTCGAGCTCTATCTCATGCGCGTCCGAGGAGGGCATGCGCGTCCACATCGATGCATTTCTCTCTCACAGCGATCATATCACCTGGAGACGAAACAAGCACGGCAGGGAGGACGTCGAAAGGGCAAGGGAGGAGAGGAGGGGGTGAAGAGGTTGGAAGGAGGAGGGAAGGAACGGAGAGGGAGGTGGTGGTGGAAGGAGAGGACAGAGGTAGATCCGGGAGAGGAGGGAGGAGGAGGGAGGAGGAGGGTGGAGGGGAGGACAAGGGGGGAGGACGAGGGGGGGCAGGAGGGGAAGTGAAGAGGATAGTCAGGGAACTTGGGAAAAGCCGGGTCGAGACACGTTAGGTACGGGAGGAGTCCTGAGGCAAGCTCACAGGTCACCCTCTTGGCCGCCATGCCTGCGATGCGACCGGAGGGTGGGGATGCTGGGGAGGAGAGGAGGGGGAGAGAGAGAGGAGAGAGAAGGAGGGGAGGAGAGGCAGCATGTTCAGACGCAAGAATGTCGGCATAAGAGTGGGGGGGGGGGATGATCCGCATGCAGACACAAGCACGTGCTGAAGGAAGCAGGGACTGCCTGTTGCTCCTGACATGAAGGCGATCAAGTGCATGAACAAAGAAATCATGCATGCCATGCTCATGGCATGCTTCGCCTTCATTGGTCTGACGTCTTCTTCTCGCCTGCATGGCTGTCAGCCCCTGAGGCCGCGAGGGTCTGCCATGCTGCTGCATCGTCGCTACCTGGTTCCAGACCTGCCCCACCTTCGTGGAGGGAAGAGAGAGGCATCAGACTCTGAGGAGGTTGGGAAACCAATAGCAGTGAAGATGAAGAAGCGAAGCTACAAGCACATGACAGTGTTCGAGGACGAGCAGGGATCCGAAAGCTCTTCCGACCTGGCGAGCAAACGCCATAGAAAGCTTTCGAGAGTATCGCAGAAACGTTCCACGGCACTGGACAAGGTGTTCAAAGACAAGATGGAGAAAGCTGTTGTCGAGGTTGAGCATCAGAAACTTCAGATAGATCCGAGGAACCTCTGTGTCTTTGATCCTTGGACAGAATTGGGGGAATATCCCCAAGAGAACGTTGAGCAGTACGAGCAGCTGCTGGAGAGCAAAGCAAAGGTGAGGTTTGAGGTGTGATATGAGGTCAAGTTATGCGTTAATTCAATCAGAATGCAATCAATGTGCTTGTTCAGCACCTCCAATCTCTTCCTCCTGTTGTTGAGCACCTAAAGAACAACGAAACGCAGGTAACTGTTTCCGGCCATCAAGCTTACATCTGTTGATCGAGCATGCAGCTGCATGTTAGCCTTCCGAAACCCAAGGAGCTTCTCCCCAGTGTCTACGAGATTGTCAAGAAGAAGCAGGTGCTTCCTGCCTGTGTGCTAGCCTCCCCTCACGCTGCTGCAGACCAAGTGGGAGCGATTCGCACAGGCCAAGGGGATCAAGAAGAGGAAGAAGACGCGAGCAGAGCGCATGGAGACGGTCAGACTCTAACGATGAGACCGAGTTTGACTTGCTGCTCAGATGAGATTGAAACGAGCAAAACTGCATGAGATCGGACCAGACGGCAAGCCCATCCCCATCGAGGAGACCCTTCGGGTAAGATCTTGTTGCAACCTTCCACAAACGCACACACCTTACCTCTCCCAACCCCCTCCCTCCTCTTCCTCCTTCACCACCATCATCGCCCTTTCCTACTCCTGGCGCTGCCCTGCCTTGGCCTCCCCCCCTCCTTGTCGCTTCTCACTAACACTCGATGAGCAGAAGCTGCAAGACAAGAAGAAGAGAGAGAAGAGAAGGCGAATGAGGGAGATCAAGGTGAAGGCGAGAGCTTGTCCCCGAATGCTTGTGAAGTGTGCATGCAGAACTTCAATGTGAAGAAGCGCAAGAGAGGATTGAAGCCGGGCTACGAGAAAGGAGACGTCAAGAGGACCGGGACGCGAGGAAAGGTCCCTCTCAAAAGGTCCTTCAAGCGACAATCTGCTCGAAGGAGAAAGTCGGGTCGTTAAGAGTCGAGCAAGGCGGGGGAGGAGCAGGTGTGGACGGTTTGAGGACCGCTACTTGTCCAGCAGGTGGGGAGCAGCTTTACTCAGGCTCGATATGCTGGTCAAGGAAGGCTCGTCTGGTCGGGTCCCAGGACATCTCCATCTACAGGAGCTCAGGGAATGAGAGAGAGGAGGAGAGAAGGGGAGGAGGGAGGAAGAGAGGGAGGAGGGATGGGGAGGAGGGAGGAGGAGAGAAGGGGAGGAGGGAGGAAGGGAGAGAGGAGGGAAGGGAAGGAGGGAAGAAGAGAGGGAGGAAAGAGAGAAGGAGAGAGAGAGAGGAAGAGAAAGAGGGAGGAGGTTAGGGGGAGAGCGGGGCACCTCAGCTGTTTGCTCGTTGAAACGGAAGTCTTTGGGCTCCACCGTGGATGGGCTAACGACTCCGTGCCAGAGGGGAGGGAGGCGAGGGACGTGCCGGTACTGCTCCTCCGTCATGATCTTCGTTTCCTGCTCCCTCGTCAGCTCCCCCACCTCCCGCTCAGCTGAAGGGTCCTCAAGAACCTGCTCGGCGAGCTTCAACACGTACTGATGCGTCGGGATCGAATAAAAATCTCCAGTCCCCACGTAGCTCTCCTTCTTTACGTCAGAATCGTAATTCTCCATCGGAACGACTCCATGCTCTTGCCTGCTCCAACCTCAGATACTCCCTCCTCCTCCTCCTCCTCCTCCTCCTCCTCCTCCTCCTCCTCCTCATCCGCGCTTGTTCAGCTTTTCCTTCTTCGGCTCAACCTGATCCGAAGCCTCAGACTTGTAAATCGGCCCAAAGGGGCTGTCACACGGTTGACAGGCTCTCACGACCGGCCACATGCCACCTGA